GTCCAGGAGGCCCGGAGCCCCAGGAGGACCCTCCCGGGGCCCGGGATAGGGGGCGTCTGGTTTTGAGAAGGGAGGCGGAGCGTTCTACCTTTGCGGAATGATCAAAACATATATCACTGCGAATCTGCGTCGATTCCTATTCCCAAAACACTGCTCGCACTCACGAGGTTCTTACTTCCCTTCGAAATCACTGGTATGTGCTTGCGGGTTTGCGCCCAGTCGCTGCCAAGGGCCTCCCCTTAGGCGCCTCGCGCTCTGGCGTGGGCTTCCGGATTTCGCCCAGCCGCAGGCCGTGGGCGCCACGTCGCTGGGCATATAGTTTGCACCACACAGTTTGTGCCACATCTACAGTCTGCACCACATAGATTGCACCACTAGGACTGCAGAACACAGCTTGCAAAACACATAGGTTGCACCAGATAGCTTGCGTCACATAGCTTGCACCACTACGATTGTACAAGGCAGCTTGCACCACATATATAGCATCACAAACGTTGCACCACCTGCATATATACACACATGCATAGACATGCGTTGCACCAATCAGCTTACACATCCAGAGTGCAATGGTCCATTGGCTAGCTCAACAATTGCAGATATGTGCTAGTAGATACAGACATAGATGCGCACGTGCACTTGCCATCGAAAGCGCGGCATGCGTGACACTTGGGCGCTCGTCGTGAACATAGCAAGCAGCGTGCGCGATAAAGTAAACGAAACCGAAAGGGTTCGTCTCATCAACAAACGATTAATCAGTCGGCCCGCAAATTAAAATGCCCAAATATCAATCGTGCAGAAGGCCAACCAGTACTCAAAAAACTGGAACACCGATATAATAACATGCTGCACTGTGAACGGGCTGAGACGAACAAGCTACGTGATCCCATCATACATCGAGGGCCCTCAAATGTTAGTGCCGATGGAACTGCATTAGTCCGAGCAAGATGAAAACTCATGCCACATCGGCTATGACTGGCTCAACGAAGCTGGCAAGGCGCTTTATCTAGATGCTCCCTCCGCGCCCCATCGCGCGGTCGGGCCGTCCGTGGGGTCGCTCCAGATCAGGTCCGAGAAGATCTGGTCCTGCCAAGAGGGGATAGGTGGCGAGGGGCCACCGCAGCTGATGGTAGACTGTAGACTTGCAGGATAATCAAAAGCGCACGCCTCAGCATCATTTCGAGGGTCGCAGCGTCGCTCCACCCTCAAAGGATGCCCTCACTCCTTCTCCTCCGCTCCACCTCCTGTTTTTCCTGCTCCTCATCCTCATCCTCCGCCTCCCCCTCCTCCTGATCACCCTCCTCTTTTGCTTTGTATCACGATTGTTCTCATTAATCTGATTAGTAGTTTTCTTATTGGTACGGATATGGGTAATACGATCACTGTTATTTTTGTTCTTTCTTGTTCCTCCTGCTCAAACTTCAAGACCGAAGCGCGCATAATCGACGGCACCCGCAGTATCTCGCTCGACCCCCCAGCGGAGATTGGGCACCCTGCAGGCAGTGGAGAGCCGAGCTCCGTGGAAAAACGCAAGCCGAAGTTTTTTTTATGAATTACGCCAATTTATTGCATATTCGCGACAACGCCCGTTACAGGCCCCACCCCCCTCCCCCCTGTAACATCACGATTCGCGCTGGCGTCGTCTGGGAATTGGCCAGTCCTGGGCGTTCCCAGACGGCGCTGGCGCGAGTCGTGACGTTCCCGGTCGGTCTCGTCCACGCCCCCCCCCTTCAGTAACGCCCGTTCTCGCCAGGGGGTTAAAAAACCGTCTCCTCATGGTGCAAAATTCGCACGCGCGCGGGCATAAATTCTCGACGTCGGCGGTGTGGGCAGGAGCGGGGAAACCGAGGATTTGGGGCCCCTCCAGGGCCCCGGATCTGGCCAAAACTAGCGAGTTCTTGCACTCTGAACCAAATCGGCCGAAATTCCTGCAAGCGCCCACGTGCTGTCTGAAAGCTGAAATAAGACAGAAGATGTTCGAGGTTCCAGGAACTCCTGGAGCGGGAGGAGAAAGCTGGGTGACAGAAAGAGGGAGGATGGAGCCCTCTCAAACTGAACCAGGGGTCGGAGGATCGCGCCGCACCGCCGATGCAGCAGTGATGCATCGGCGACGTCGGGATCGAGAAAATCTGGGTTCAGACCTCGCCGCATCACCAATGCATCGACGATGCTGCGCGATCCTCCGACCCCATCTGCTCTGACTCCATCTGGGCGGCCTGGAGAGGAGGAGGAGGAGGAGCAGGAGGAGGAGTTGGAGTTGGAGTTGCAGTTACAGTTGCAGTTGCAGTTGAAGTCCCTTGACGAAGTCCTTACCACCCTTGAAGACGACAAGGACAAGGACGAGAGCGAGGACGAGGACACGAAGGAGGGCAAGGAGCAGGACGGCCTTGGTTCGGACCCCGACGTCCCGAAGCCTCTGCCCCTTCAGAGGCGGCGCTATTCGCCTCATGCCCACGGTCATTGCCAGACTAGGCTCGCCTGGAGCCGCCCAGGGCCCCCGCGG